GGGGGGGGGAGGAGGGTAGAGGGAGAATCCCAAGCAAGCTCCCCGCCCAGCGAGGAGCCCCACATAGAGCTCGATCCCACGACTCCAAGATCATGACCCCAGCCGAAATCAAGAGTCAGACACTCAACTGACTGAGCCACTCAGGAGCCCCTTTTATTTATATTTTTTAAAAGATTTTATTTGTGTGTGTGTGTTTAAGTAAACCACCTCCAACATGGAGCTTGAAATCACAACCCCAAGATCAAGAGTCACATGCCCTACGTTATGGGCCAGCCAGGTGCCCTGATGGACTCATTTTAACTTAATCACGCCTTTAAAGGCCTTATTTCCAAATACTGTCATGTTCTGAGGTGCTAGCAGTTAGGGCTTCAACATATGAATTTACAAGGACACAATTCAGCGTATTACACCATCTGTGATATTTATCAGTCTTCCTCTCCGTATGATTCTGTGTTCCTTTGGTATTCATTTTCGTTCGTGCAGGCTTACACATTAAGCAGTAGTAACAGCAGTAGTTCTACACAGTGAGCCCCCTCCCTGCTCTGCTGCCCAGGCAAATTAGTTAGGATTACTAAGATTCAGATTTAACTCTCTGGACAAAAGACGTTGTATTGTCTGGCATTTTGCTTATAACATCACAAACATCCTTTAGTTTTGTGTTTGCTAGAGAACACAATCCAGGATAGCTGAATAATCCAGTTGACTATTTAGATTAAAAATGCCAGTCTTTGGGCACCTGGGGGGCTCAGTCGGTTAAGTGTCTGCCTTCTGCTCAGGTCATGACCCCAGGGTCCTGGGGTCAAGTCCCGTGTCGGGCTCCCTGCTCAATGGGGAGTCTGCTTCTCCTTCTGCCTTTCCCCCCTGCTCGTGATCTCTCTCTCTCAAAGAGATAAATAAAATCTTTTAAAAAATGCCAGTGTTTTACAAATGAGCCATTCAAGTATGCTTTCCGGTTTATTCTGTTTCCTTTAAAGTACTGTCTGTGTCATTTACTCTTATCTTCAATCAACTGACTCTTTTGCTTACATTTATGGTAAAAGGAAATTTTTTACCATCATTGTACATGGGAAGTTAGTATAGTATTACTTGCCTTAAATTATTCTTAAAAATGAATACAGAACTATAAAGTGAAGTGTTCACTTATTGCCACCTAAAATTCTCTAATGTACCACTAGCAACTCCACCCTTCCACTTGCTCAGACAAAAGCCTGGAAGCCAGAGTAGTTAACTACTACTCTTTTGTGCTTCTCAGGCAGACTGGCAGCAAATCTTACCAGTGTATACCTCTCAGATATCTGAAATTGTACTCTTTTCACCACCTTCACTGGTCCAAGCCATGTTTTCTTTTGGCCAGGATTATTACAATAGGCCGTAGCTCCCTTCACTGGAGTCTGTACACTGCAGTCAGAGGGATCTATTTAAAAAAGCAAGTCAGATCCCGTCACTCCTCTGTTCACAACTCCAGTGTCTTCTCAGGTCAGTAATAGTTGGAGTCCTTAACCATCCACTGCTCTTCCATCTCACTGACCCGCTTCTAGCTGAATTGGGATCTTGCTGTTCTTTGACATTCCTGGCAAAGTCTTACCTGAGGGTCTTAGCACTTGCTGTTTCTTCTTTGGAAGACTCTCCCCTCAGCTATGCATACATAGGTCATGCTCCTTCATGTTAGGTCTTTACTTCATGACACCTAGTCGCAGTAAGGCTTTCCTTGATCACCCCCATTTAAAATTGTAGCTACTCCCCCTACTCCTGCTCCAAAACTCCACCAGCTGTCATCCTATGTAATTTGTATTTTTGTTTTGTGATTATATGTTTCCCATTAGAATGTAAGCTCCACGAGGGCAGGCATTTTTGTTTTGTTCACTGCTTATTCCTCATTGCCTAGAAAAGTGCCCGACCTATAGCAGATGCTCAGGTATTTACTCCAGTTGAATATACAGTAGCAGGAGTCCCACCTTGGGAAACAATGAGATATACTGGGAACACCTCCCGGTCTGGAGTCCCTCCAGTGGGTTTTTCTCCACGGCTACGTGGTAAGTGCTGCTCGCCTCAGGGAGTCTGGCCAGTTGGAGGCTCAGCATTCAAGACAAAAAAGTGCTTATAATTTGTCCGAATTTGAGGTTTTTTTCCCAGAGGTAATTGTTCAAATGCCAGGGAGGGAGGTGGAGGAGGGGAGACGCAGGTAGGATTGTTTGGGAGCGCATCCCTAGGAGAGTTACTTGGTGCCCAAGCACAGGAAAAAAATTGCTCTCCCTGCCCTCCCACAGCCTCATCCCCCACCTGGCCCCAATGCTTCGGTTCTGTTCTGGAAAACACCCAGAAATGGCTCAAGCCTCAATCTGAACTCAGGTATAGTAGCTTGAACCTATGAGATGTGTTTGTGTGATTTCTTCCATGAGCTACTTGCCAGGCTTTGGGATTTTTTGGAAACAAGTAAATCAGAGAATGAGCGCCCTCTTTCAGATTTTTCATAAGAGAGAAACTATGGCTTGACTAATTGAAAATTTTATCCTTGGCGCCTTCAGTTGACTCTTAGCTGATCAAGAGGATACCATTTTTATTTCATGTGGCATGGCGGCTGGCTCTCCTCCTGAGGTAGTTTGAGTGTCATTCCAACAAATGCACGCACCCTTAGCCTCAGAAATATGTAATAAGAATGAAACAAAAGCAGTAGCCTCTTCTCTTCCAAGGCACTTACTACTCATGATACCAATATTGGTGGTTTTCATCTGTTATGGACCCAAATTGATCAGCATTTTGACACATAAACTCTTGATGAAGTTTATCAAAGCTGTGGGGCCAGGGTGGGGGGAGTAGTCTTTCTAGACTTGATTCAGTGGTCACTTCACCTGAAATAAAACCACATGGCCCTTCCTTGTGGGCGCACTGGTTGGTACTGGAAGCTCTGTAAGCAAGTTTGAGGGACGACGACTTTCAGCCATTTTTTTGCATGTTAGCATCTTTATTTCCACGTAGTAATAACAAGCAGCCAGATCTAGCCTTACAGGTTCCCCTGGAGTTGCTAGTATCTTGAATTTCTTTCCATTTATTTTAGGAGTAAAAGTCCCTCGCAATTTTCGACTGTTGGAAGAACTGGAAGAAGGCCAGAAAGGAGTAGGAGATGGCACAGTTAGCTGGGGTCTAGAAGATGACGAAGACATGACACTTACAAGATGGACAGGGATGATAATTGGGCCTCCAAGAGTAAGCGTCGAGCTACGGCTATAAATGTCAATGTCTTAAATTCACTGTGCCTCCTTTTAAGAAATATTAGCCTTATCACGGAAAAAACTCACCAATGGTATATTTTCTGAAATGTGGCTATTCTTTTTTGACCAGTTTCAGTTTATATATTTGAACCTCCTCTGATGCTGTTTAATCCCTCTACATGGTAAGCAAAAACCTGTTTAGACTCATAGTGTGAATTTACATGGCAATGTAGACAGGGAGGTGTGAAGTCATTGCACCCCCACGTGTACTTTAGAACAAACTCTTGGGCTTATCAAATAATAAGTCTCCAGATACAGCCAATGTTCTGAAGACAGCGTCCAAATGAACTTTGGAAAGCCTTCATGGTTGTGGTTTTCATTCACAGTTTCCCGGGTCTGCCATGCACCCATATCCTAATTAATCGGGCTATTCAGCAAAGGCGATTGCCTGTCTGGTTGGCCCCGGTCTCTTGCAGGCACTGTGAGACCCAGAGGCCTTTGCATAGAAGACAGAAGACAATGGGGATGAGAAAATTGACCTCTCTTTTAGAGCTTCGTGATTTGTGAGAGTTCCCAGGCTTCATAATGCCAGTACATATGTACATAGTAAAACCCCCAAGAAATGTCATTGAATTCTCACAAGAACCTGTTGTTAGGGGCTACTACTGTGTCGTCCCATCCCATTTTACAGGTGAGGAAACAGATTCAGAGAAGTAAAGTTACTTGCCCAAAGTCACAGAGCTGATAATTCCCAAGGGGGTTCTGACTCCAGAACCTGTGCTCCTAACCCTGTGCTACATTATCTCCTTTCTGTTTAGATTTTGAGATTTCATTTGTTCCCATTATAGAATTAGCTGGAGTGTTAGTAGTAATATGAGGTAGGAGTAAGGAAATAGATTCCCGTGATGTGACACTTGTTTCAGACAATGGGAGATTCTGCCTGAATGTAGCAGGACCTTTCCTGTGTGCGCTTGTGCTCGAAGATGATGGTGGCCATGCATTCTTTTCACTGCGTGCACAGGCTCTGCACCAGCTCTGTGGGAAGTAGAAAGACATGTGGAATGTGGCCCCGACTGAAACAAGGAAGAAGGTCATGCTCATTAAGTGTTAGGAAAATCTGCTGTTCATCTTGGACCGTCGTAAACACTCTGGTGAATGACTGGCTTTGCCATTTAACGTTACCTCTTGAGTCATCTTTGATCCCATGGTTTTGTGTTTTGGGTTAAAGAAAAATATTCAATTTACTGTTTTTATTCATTTCTTTATCTTTTTAAAAAAAATCTCTGAAAACCAGGATTTCTGGATCTACTAAATGCTGGGGAAAACTTGATCTAGAAAGCTTGTTTCTTCCTGGAGATCATTTCTTGCCATCTCTGGAAGTCCACTGTGTGGTGATGGCTTCCTTCACTGCATTTCTTCTCTGCCTAAGAATGGTTCCAGTTTCTTGAGGATGAGAACCATTCTTCCCTCCTCCTAACTCACCAGAGCACCTGGAAATGACTCAGCATGGGGTAGTTTTTCAATAGATTTGTTCATTAGCAGACTGATTTTCAGGTTCTAACAAATTAAGAATGAACTAGTGTACAACATTGCGAATACACTAAATACCACTGAATTATACACTTCGACAAATGAACAAACAAAATGAACCAACAAATTCCATTGGAAATATTTTGTTCTACCTACAACACCTTGGATTATCCTGGGTTTCATTTTAACTCTTTCCACAGGGGCCTCCCTTATAATGAGTGGCTACCGTACGCAAGGTGCTTTCCACACGTTCATATATATATATATATATGGTAGCTCTACTGAGATGTAATTCACATATTGTAGAATCCACTTAGTGTAGAATACACTTGTAAAGTGTACCGTTCGGTGGTTTTTATATTCAGAATTGTGCAACTGTCACTAATTTCAGAACATTTTCATTACCCCAGAGAGAAACTTTCTTCCCCATTGGCATTCACTCCCAATCTGTTCCCCACCCCCCTCCCTCACCTTTGACAACCACTCATTTACTCTGTCCCTATGAATTTGTCTGTTCTGGACATTTCATATAAATGGAATCACACAACATGTGGTCTTTTGTAGTGGCTTTTACTGTTTTCAAGGTTCATACATGTTCTAGCACTTACCAGTACATTCCTTTTTATGGCTGAATAATATTCCGTTGTGTAGATAGACCATATTTTCTTTATCCATTAACTAGCTGATAGACATTTGGATTTTTTCCATTTTTTTGCCTATTATGAATAATGCTGCTATGAATATTTGTGTACAAGTTTTTGTATGGACATATGTTTTCATTTCTCTTAGGTGTATACCTAGGAGTTGAACCGTCTGGATCATATGGTAACTTTATGTTTAACATTTTAAATAACAGTCAGACTGTTTTCCCAAGTGGCTACACCAGTTTATGTTTCCACCAGCAGTACATGAGGGTTTCTGCTTCTCCCACCCTCGCCAGTGCTTGTCACTGACTGTTTTTTTTTACCCCTATAGTTATGCTTGCCCTGGCTCCCCAAGGTTAAAAGCAGAGAAGAAAACTGTCTGCTTCTAGGTGCTTCCTGTGACCAGTCTGCTTTATGACTAACATACAAGGCATATGCTGGGCCTCTGAAATATCAGCGTAATTATTAAAGTATCTAAATAGAGCACTTGAGTAACCCATCTGCCTGTTGTATCTTTGTGACTGTATAACTCAAAATCCTCCATCAAAAGTGATCCAGCAATTCTAGGAATTTACTCAGCTTTTTTTAATGTGTTACCCAAAGGCCTGTATGTACAGTTACTGAATGCAGTGTTTTCAGTAGTCGCAGAATATTGGAAACCACCGCAGAGTCTTCCAGTAGACCATAGTATGTACTGTTTAGCTGTTGAAAAGAAAGAGACAGATACAATGTGTCCTGAAATGGAATGATTTCCATGATATTTAAGTGAAAAAAGGTACAAAGCAGTATAGGATATGCTGCCACTGGGGTGGGGAGGAGTGGGGGGCAGAGGAAGAAGTCATACATATACTTGTGCTTCTTTGTGTTTACAGTACTTTGTGGGGAACATGAAAGAAGTTGGTGACAGTGGTTGCCTTCTTCAAAAGGGATCTGGCTAGCTGGGACCAGGGTGGAAAGGAGATTGATTTTTTTTACCATATACCTTTTTGTACTCTGAGTTGCTTTAATTATATGTGTGTTAGCTATTTGATTTTTTTTTTTTTTTTTAAGAAAGCAATTTCTCCAAACCTAAAAGTAAGTTTCTCATCCAAGTGCCCTTTGCAAAATTCCGGCAAATGTCCAGTTGTCCACAGCATTAGATGTGGATTATTTCTACTCTGACCCCAGAGGCGCTAAGAATAGCCAGGTTACAGAGCATTTTCTCAGCTTCAGCGCTATTGACATCTCGAGCTGGATCATTCTTTGTTGTGGAGCTGTGCTGTGCATTTTGGGATTAGCAGCATCCCTGGTCTCTGCTCACCAGATACCAGTAGCACCTCCCTCCCCCAGTTGTGACAGCCATTAATGTCTCCAGATGTTGCCTAATTCCCACCCCACCTGGAGGGGGGTGGGCAGAAATTGCTGTGGTTGAGAAACCACAGCAATTTCTGGGGTTGTCCAAGATAATGTTTTTAGGTGCGGGTTAAAACGTGGGTGTGTGTTTATACACGTACTTATCTGAAAATACTGTATGCATGCTTAAGAACAGAACATAATTACAGGAATGTGTGAGGTAAAAGGAAGGTAATCCTTCCCCCATTTCATTATACTCCCCACAGAATGAGTGTGTTTCTACCGGCTTTTGCTTTGGGTACACAAACATAAGTACATATCCTTTTTAATAAAAATGAGACCTTGCTATGCATAATGTTTTGCAACTTCATTTTTTTCACTTAACAGATGGTTAACAGATGGTGGATGTCTTTCCATATCAGTGCATATTGATCTCTTTTTAAACAGCTTTATGTGGCATGTCTGATACATGAATATATCCTCATAAAAATTCTCAAACAATACAGAGTATGTAAAGTAAGAAGTTCACTTTGTTCCCCTTAACTCTGTGTGTTAGTCAGGAAAAGAGAAACCATGCTAGGTATTTCAGCAGAGAGAATTTAATATAGGAAGTTGATCAAATTAGTGTTGGCCTGAAAAAGCAGAGAAGGCACACTGTGGGACCACAGAGATAACACTGCAGGAAACAACAGCTTAGCCCTGGGGCTGGGAGGACATGGGCGCAGCCATCAGAACCGAGCACCGGGAGGAGTGGTCCCAGGAGGCAGTGACAATGTTGGGGACACTGAAAGACGCTGGAAACCAGAACAGCTCTCTTGGCCTAGATGAGGGGCACTTGCAGGCTGACGTGACAGGAACAGAAAGCGAATGGAAAGGAAAAAGTGCTTCCTTTCTCTTGCATATTTTATATGAGGATTGTGTGGTTAGCTGGACAATTTAGTCTTTAGGTTCTGGAATATTCTAAGTGGCACTAGCATTGACTTGGAGAAATGAATAGTTAATGTTGCCTGAAGACTGGTCTGATGGCTCGCTCAGCAGGATACCCTGAGTGGTGGCAAGAGGGAGAGGCTCTGTACAGAGGAAAATTGTGTCTTGTTACTGTCTGGAGGGGTGTACAGATGCCCACTTAAGCTCCAAGCCCAACTTCCTCAGCTCTGCTTTTGGATACTGGGGCTGGGAACTCTGCACACTACAGGTTTCCTTTGCCAGCTGGCACCCTATTATATTCCTCCAGTCAGAGACGCAGGAGAGCGCCTGAGAGGCAAGGAGAAGGGACTTGCTTCTGCTTGTTTGCCTGTTCTTTCTGCGCCACTCTGGTAATGGCCCTTCATCCCGGCATCAGCAGTGGGTACCAGCCTCCAGCTCTTGGGGGCACTCCCAGAGCTGGCCTGTGGCGCCCCCTCCTCAGAGGTCTGAGTTCAACTCTAGAGACCTCTGGCCCTGAGCCCCTAGGTCTGAAAAACTGGCTTATTCCCTTGGTTCCCCCAGCCTCAAGAGGTGCCACCTGTTTTCTGCAGGTTACCTCTGTGTTAGCTCAGGTTCCCTTTTTGTGTTTTCAGTCCAGTGACACCTGTTTAACCAATTCCCTATGTTAAATTCTCTGTTAAAATGCCTAGTGCTGTGTCTTGTTTCCTGGCTTATCCCTAACTGCCATATCCCTGCTCTCCAGATGAACTGTGAGCCGCATCCGGTCCATCTCCTTCCACACCTCTTCCTGTGCATTTTCCTCCCTGTCTTCATCCAGAGCCATGTAGACTTTCTCACTTTGAAGGGCCCACACCTTGTTCTCACACAGCACAAGCCCACCTTGGACAGCGCACATTAAGTTGAGTACGCCTGCTCAAGATTTCACTTGAGTAGCGGTCATCTGGTTGACCCGAGTCAACTTTTTATATACTGACAGTTTGTGATTTTCTCATTTTTGCAACCAGTACCTTTTCCTTTTCTCATATCTCCTACATTTTAAAGATACATTTATTTCACAATACTTTTAGACTTACAGAAAAAGTAGAAGGATAGTATGGAAAGTTCCATGTGTACCCCTCCCCCCAGTTTCCCCAGTTGTTAGCATCTTATACTGGGATAGTACATTTGTTACCACCAGTGGCCCCATATTGATGCATTACTATTAACTAAAGTCCATGTCTTATTCAGGTGTTCTTAGTTTTTACCTTGTGTCTATTTTCTTCTATTCCAGAATCCTATCCGAGATACTACATTATATTTTTATTGTCATATCCTGGGCTTCTTGTGGCTGTGACAATTTCAGGGTTTTCTTGGTTTTGTTGCCCTTGACAATTTTGAGGCATACTGGTTAGGTATTTTGTAGAATGTCTGTAGTGGAATTTATCTGACATTTTTCATCATGATTCGGCTGGGATTCTCATATATATATTTTAGGCCCAGGAAAAGTTTGTCATCTTTAGGCTGCGGGCCTGTAGTGTCTAGTGGATGAAACGTGTGTGCACATTAACATAGCCTCAGTTGGAGGGGGGTGTCTGTCTGCTTTTATAGCTTACACATATTCTCCCAACTGTCTGGCTGTACCAAGACCCATGCATGTCTTGGCAGTCTTTCCATGTGTGTGTCTGGGCCTCAGCCTTTGAAAAGGCTACAAAGTATCCAATTTTAGGAATATGCTGTATTTGTTCAGTCAGTCCCTTGCAGGTGGACATTTAGATTGTTTATAGTTATTTTTGCTATTGCAGACGATGCTTCACTTTTTTTTTTAATGCTTCACATTTTTGTGCATAAGTACAAGTCTGCCTGTAGGAAGTTCCTAGAAATAGTCTTGCTGGTTTAAGCATGCCTGTTTCATATTTTGATAGGCACTGCCAAATTGCCCCATGAAGCTCAAGCCATGTCAATAAAGTGGAAAGTGTTTCATGATCAGATAATGAATCTTGAGAAGTGTTCCTCATAGACAGAATGTTCTTTTTTTTTTTTTTTTAAAGATTTTATTTATTCATTTGAGACACAGAGATACAGAGAGAGAAAGCACGAGCAGGGAGAGAGGCAGAGGGAGAAGCAGGCTCCTCACCAAGCCAGGAGCCCGATGTGGGGCTCGATCCCATGACCCTGGGATCACGACCTGAGCCGAAGGCAGACGCTTAACCATCTGAGCCCCCAGGCGCCCCATAGACAGAATGTTCTAACAGTTCTTCTCCAGGCATAATTCCTTTCTTCAGTGAAACCTTTTTACAAAGCAGGTCTTGGAACACTAGTAAACAAAACAAAAGAAGAAAACCAGAACCTGTTTTCTATAGAAGTCTTGCTTTGTACTTTTTAATGATCCTTCAGGTGTCTCTATGTTCACTTGACTTGAGGCATTTTTTACTGTGTTCGAGTGAAGTTGCCAGTTGAACATCAGTGGTCAGAAATTTGGTATTTTTTGCCTTCTAAGAAGTTAGTCATAGAATGCACATTTTTAAATTAGACTTCATAGTGTCGAAAGTAATAAGATTTAAAATATGTAATTATCAGAATCCTGTTACCAAGCTGCTCACCTTCTTAGCCATTTTGATGCTGTTGTTAATAGATAGAATGATTAGTGAAATTTTTTCGAGGCTGATAAGCCACAAAACATACTGGCGGGTGAATACATTGGTGTATCAGAACCTCCAAAATGTGATATCGAATATTTTTTAAAAGACTTACTGATTTTGATACCACAAGCCCATGCCCCCAGGGACTATTTTATATAAGAAATTCTATCTGAATTGTGGGACAAAAACCATTGAGTATGAATGTAGGACAGACATCCAGAGATGAACTTGGGATCCATGCAGTCAACAGATACTGCCGAGTGCATAGTTGCTGATGGAGACTGTGCTAGGTGCTGAGTATAGACCTTTTATCATATTTTCCATAAATCCCTGTTTGCTTCCTTCTTGTCATGTTGACGCAGTGAATTTTTGTCTTCTGAGGGAGCACCTTAGTTGCAGCAAGCTGTTCATTTTATAAACTTGCAAAGAGCAATATTCGAGTCAAGGAACATTGGAGTACCAGTTCTGTTGAGGCCCTCACCCTCCTTCTTCTTAGTTTATCAAGGGAGGTCTGACAGAAGACTTCAGATGGGGAGTCAGGAGGACTTCTGAGAAGAAGGTGCCGTTGAGCCAGAGAGCTGCAGGATGGACCCAGAACAGCAGCTGGTGTCGGGGCCCCAAGGTAGAGAGAAGTTGGGGCTAGCTGGAGAGGAAGAAGAAAAAGAGGAAGGCGGGGTCCGATCCAAGAACATGGGCTTCCTTCTTGGGTCACTAGCTGCCATTGGAGGGGTCAAGTTCTTGGTTTTGAAAGATCAGCCAGGCTGCTGTTTGGAGAACAGATTGCGGGGGGAGCAAGAAAGAGCAGAGACAGGTGATTGAGACGAAGGGTGTGGTAGAGGGAAGTGGGTGGGTGTGGGATCGCTCTTGGAGGTGGAAGCTAAGACCTTTTGATTAGAAGGGAGGGGGTGAGAGAAAAGGGAATTGTGGCTGGCTGCTAGGTTTTGCTTTAACTAACTGCCAGGTGGCGGTGCCATTTATAAAGGAAGAAGAGAGGAAGAGCAGCTTGAGGGCGGATGGAAATCCAGAACTGAGTTTAGGTTTGTCACAGTTTGGAGTACCTGTTAAGTGGATGTGAAAGGTTTTTATGGGTATATTATGAATGCCTTCTGAATCTTAAAATATGTTCCAGTTTTTTTCTTAGGGCTAGACCACCGTTTAGACGGAATGTTTTCTAGGATTTAAATCACATCTTCTGTAATTGATTCCCCCCAAAGACAGCTAGATGTCGCTGTTTACACAGGAGCGGTTACTTGTGCAGGCAGCACTGAGGAAGGCGGGAGCACTGGTGCCCTGGACGGGGACCCATTGGAGGGGGGTGGCCTCTACCTTCGAGGGGGCCAACCTAATGGGGACACGTAACCTTTCAGGGTGGTCTTTAGACATGTAAATGATAACATTGCCACTTCATGTAGGACAGAAAGCTATGGACTAACCTGTATGATGACTGAACTGGGTGATGTTTGAGCAGGTGATGTTTGAACTGGGTCTTGATGGATGTGCGGTAGTTCGGCGGGGGGGGGGGCGGCGGGCAGGGCGCTCTAGGCAGATGGAACAGCCTGCTACTGACAGCACATTTTGCTGTTCATCGGGTGGAAGTTACAGGGAAAAGTTCACTGCCGTGGGGAATTGGACTTTCCAGTTTTTTCTACAGAGCCGTGGTTGACGTTTGAAGAAGGACAGTCTTTTCCTCTGCGGGCCTGGCATCCGTGGCTGCCCACCTCACCCACTACATGCCTGTAATCTGTCAGGTCGTTGTAAAGCCTGCAGGGAGAGAGGGTGCGGCACACAGCCAGAGTAATGAGGTAGTGGGAAAGCAGCTCTCGCATCTGCACCCGCACCCCCTAACTTGTGTTTCATTTTGAAGTTCTTCCAAAGAGCCTCCTGTTCTGTGCTTTGCACATGGTGATAGTGAATGCATTGGCTGATGACCCTGGTGTGAGTAAACGTTTAGTGTGGCTTCCCAGAGTAAAGAAAGCCTCTTACACAGCATTGTCCAGAGCACAGGATGGGGTCTGCAAAGTAGAGAAATTAGTGTACAAACAAGTCCATCTGATTGGACTTAAATAATACTAACTTGAAACTTCAGTGATACTGTTGTAAATTTTCTTTGTATTCCCCCGAGATAAGACTTCATAGACACTAGTGTGGGGACTAGTTACTACTGACTTCACAGGTAACAGGTAGACTCTGTATAAAGGAAGCACATGCACCAGTTCTGCAGGCAGGAATAAATGGGGTTTCAAAAGATCTGCCTTTTTGAATTCATAGTTTGTAATTGCCTGACATCTCTGTACCTTTTTTTCCAGACAATTTATGAAAACCGAATATACAGCCTTAAAATAGAATGTGGACCTAAATACCCAGAAGCACCCCCCTTTGTAAGATTTGTAACAAAAATTAATATGAATGGAGTTAATAGTTCTAATGGAGTGGTAAGTTGTTTTTCCTGCCCACACTTGCTCCTTTGGGTTGAGAAATGCTTTGTACTTAAACATCAGGGGCGCTGTGGCCCTAAGTCCATATATTTCTTGGTTGTTTGATGCTGAAATATACCACAGTATGAACATACGCAGACTCGGGGTGAGGGCCTGTTCCCCAGCTATATTTAAATCATTGTTCGTGCCACACTCACCCCGGGCCAACACCGTGCGGCTCTCTTGAGATAGGAGCTCATTCTGTCTTCATGATGCACCCTCATGAGGCAGAGATGAGGAGCCTGCGGCACAGAGGTGCAAAGTCCTGTCTAGGGTCATACTCGTACTTCCCGAGCCTTACTTATGACACATGCTGTTTTTTTCCCCTTTAATGGCCTTGCTTTTTAAATTTCTTTTTATTACCATAAATGGAAAACCAGTCTCACTTGTCATAAGAAGGCAGTAGTGGCAGTAATAAATACTACAGAATCAAAGTGATGTTAATAAATTCTTCCTCCATAGGTTTCTTGCCAAAGGCTTTGAGCCTTTGAGACCTGCTCTCTTGTTCAAAGGGGAGATCAGCGAGCGTTGAAGGGTTTTACACGTTAAGCATCATGTGAGCTAAGCCTTTGTTTTGAGATATTCAGAAGACTTGAAAGAAAAGCGAAAAAGAGATGAGCCTTGTTGCTGTGTGTTCAGTGTTTCATGTTGCATCTGAGTTCCACCAAAAGTCCTGAACCCAGAACTCGACCCACACTTTGGGAGATTTCTTTTGGTAATTGCTGCACAAACTTGAGAGAGTGTGACTCAGAGGCAAGTCCTTGTCACGAGAGCGTGGGTCTGGGCCACTGCTCGCCTTTGCTCCTTACTGCCCTGGGTGCCGTTAGCATCCACCACCTGGGTGTGGCGTCGAGAAAGGACCCTGAGCCATAGCAGCCTGTCCAGGAGAGCAGGTCACTGTTCTAGAGCCAGCTGGACTCTTGCCAAGTGCCAGGACCATTTCTCTAAGGGTGGCTTTACTTATCCATAGTTTCCTTCTCCCAAACGGTGAGGGTTTGGGACACAAACCAGGAAACACAGACTAACCAGAGGGAGGGATCACGCAGGTATTTTCTGCATGTCAGATACCATTGTGTGATGGGCATGTTCAACTGGAAAAATGCATTTTACTCCTATCTGCAGCTTTACTCCAGCACATAGCAATTCATTTGTTTGAGAGCCTGACAGTTTTTTGTTTGCCTTTTTGTAGGTGGACCCAAGAGCCATATCAGTGCTAGCAAAATGGCAGAATTCATATAGCATCAAAGTTGTCCTGCAAGAGCTCCGGCGCCTAATGATGTCTAAAGAAAACATGAAACTCCCTCAGCCGCCTGAAGGACAGTGTTACAGCAATTAATCAAAAAGAGAAACCACAGGCCCTCCCCCCTCCCCCCCATTCGATTTAAGCAGTCATTTTCCACAGTAGTACATTTTCTAGATACGTCTTGTAGACCTCAAAGTACTGGAAAGGAAGCTCCCATTCAAAGGCAATTTATCTTAAGATACTGTAAACGATACTAATTTTTTGTCCATTTGAAATATATAAGTTGTGCTATAACAAATCATCCTGTCAAGTGTAACCACTGTCCACATAGTTGAACTTCTGGGATCAGGAAAGTATATTTAAATTGATTCCCATCATAACCGGTGGGGCACATCTAACTCAACTGTGAAAAGACACATCACACAATCACCTTGCTGCTGATTACATGGCCTGGGGTCTCTGCCTTCTCCCCTTCTCCTCCCCCTGCCGCCTCCCCCTTCTTCCCTCCCCCGCTCCCTCCCTCCCTCCATCCCTGCAACAGCCCTCCAGCTTGGGGTGGCTTGCTAGAGTAGGTGTGAAGGTTTCAGGTCGCAGCCTGTGGGACTACTGCTGGGTGTGTGGGGGTGCTCCAGCTGCACCCCTGGTTTCTTTTTTTTAAGTCTTAAATGATGCCCTCCCCCCTCCAAGCCATCATCCTTTCTCTACTTCCCATGACTACCCTTGGCCGAAGCATAGATTGTAACCCCCTCTGCTCCCCTCTGAAATTGGCCTTTGGTGAGGAATTCAGGGCTTTCCTATATCTTCTCCCCCACCTTAATCGAGGGGTGCTGCTTTTTCCTTCCTCCTCCTCAAGACCCTTTTTGCACCATTACCACCCAACACTGTCCACGACACTTCCTTGCTTTGGCCAGAAGCCATCAGGTAAGGTTGGAAAGAGTCTCTGACTTCCCTCATTTAGTTTTGGAACCACATTTACTCACTCTCCACCAGCCTGGGAATGAATATTGGGTCCTCAGCCCTGCCACCTTCTGCTGTCATCGTCAGCTGATGCGGTTTTTTAGCTCAGGTTTTGATAAGTGAAAAGAACAGTCACCAGGGGTACTCAGACCTGCCAGCTCTCAAAGTGCTTGGTGGTTAAACTTGGAGAAAGGCCACAGAAGACACTTGTAAGCACACATGATCCCTCTGAATGAATTGTTTTCTTTTCCTATAATTGCTTTGGCTTTTAAAAATTGAAGTTTTAAACAGGGTTCTCATGTGGTCATCTTAACAATCCATTTGGGTCTAGTTTGGAATCTGACAACTGGAACAAAAAAGAACCTTGAATTCGGTGCATACTTTGGTTTTGGTGCTGCTGCTTCCCACAGTCCTCAGCAGGGATTAAGAAAGAACTCGGTGTGCACAGCAGATCCCCGAAATTGGCGGGCTTGACTTCCTGGCAAATTGCTGCATTTTTCCACTTTTCTGTTCAGGACCACTAAATGCTGAGATGTGGATGCATACTGAAATAAAAGCGATTCATTGTGTTCTAAAGTTTTTTTTTTTTTTTTAATTTAGTGTTTGTATAAAACCACCTTTTGAAGCAGCAACTATCAAGTCTGAAAAACAATCGATGTTTCCATTAATCTTTTTCTGGGGGATACCTTAGATCTAAGGATTTAACATCCTGTAAGTAAAGTTGAACATAACAGTATTCCATAAGCAGCCTTTTTATTGTCAGACCATTGCCTGATTTTAATATAATAAAAAAAAAAAGTGTGCGTTAATATTTAAGAAGCTGTGCCCTTCTTCCTCTTGGCATGTAATTTAGGAACAGAATTTGATGTTTTAGATGCTTTGGGATTCAAATTGATGTCCTAAGTCAGGGGTCGGCAAACCTCCTTCCACCAAGGGCCTAAGTCAATAAATACTTGGGCTTTGTGAGCCAAGAGGCAAAATTAAAGGTACTGTGTAAATACTTATATAGTGAGAGAAAACAGATGTCCACAAAACTGTTTATTGGTAGAATTCAAAATCTAGTAATTGAGTATAGTTCTTTTCTAATGTTACAGGTCAACTAATGAGAGAAGTGGAATTCTTTTTTTTAGAGGATAACATTTTGCTTACTGGAATTTAAAGTTAGTATTCCTGATTTATCAAATCCGTTGTATGATTTATCAAGTCCGTTGTAAATGTTCATCTGTAGAAATCATTCTTCATCAAACAGGCAGTGGGCTAGATTTGGCCCATGGACCACAGTTTGCCAACCCCTGTCTGACAAGGTTATGGTGAAAAGGTCCGAGGGGCGGGGGGGAGTCTTTCCTTTAAGTAGCTTTGTGGGACTCCAGCTATTAAGTCCCCTCTAGTACCTACTTACCAGCTGGATTTAGTAGTCTATTGGGAAGGGAAATATAGGACTTTCACATGGATTTCTGGTGTTGGAGACGAGAGTTTTGCCTGAAAATTGACAGTTTTGTCTGCTACCTACTGTGTACGGAGTGGAAACGTGTCTGTGGTTGTTTTTATCCAGGATTTGAACTTCCTGCTGTGGTCCCAACCGCCAGCAGGCATGACCTTGGTGTCCTGTGGCAGGAGCCAGGCCCATTCTTTTGTGGCTGTGGGGCCAGCTCAGATGTCAGAACCTGGTGCCTGGGTAGAGCCAGATTGTTTCTACCAGGCCACCCTCCAGAAAGCACTGCCCAAATTTCTGCCATATGGGTCCCTAGGAGGCCTCCAGAGTGAATTACTGCCTTTCTGCTGTGGGTTCTTCGCCCTTAGTCCTTAGCTCCCCCGAGGGAGGGAAGGGACAGGGGAGGTTCTAAAATTATTTCAAAATGCTCCTGGAAAACCCCAAGGCAAATTCAGGGCTAAATCTAAAGGTGGCAGCTCTCATGGGCTGCGTGACCTCCAGAGAGAAGAGCCATCTGAACTGCTAGAGTGCACCTTTCACCTTCTTAGTGCGCGACATGTGATAATGGAGTCTGATTTGTGCTTATGTCCCAACAGTCATGTGATTTGCTCCTCATTGTCGCTGATGGGTTTACAGGTATGTCTGTCGTCGGGCCTCAATTTAGGGTACAGAAGAAGCGCTCATCTGGGGGCTAAGCGCACTGCTTCACCAGGTAGCCTCAGCTCACACGCCTCCAGTCCCCAGTGCCTGCCAGGTCTTTGCTCTTGAGAGAAGATACTTGTGTTCTTTCTCACTGTGTAGACCTGCAGGGTGTGGGGGTGCACGGAGGTCTCCAGGGTAATCTGCGTGGGCGAGGAAGCACCCCTTCTGATACACCAACAGCAAACCGTGCTGGGTCTCCACTACCCCGTGACCTTGGATTTTGATATCGAGATGAGGGCTCTTGAGCTTCGTCTCAGCTCTGCTGGGAAGGTTCCCAGAGCCTTCTGGGTGGGGGCGGCACTGGCACTGGTGCCTTGTGACGGTGTCGAGTCCATGGCACAGACTCCACGTGCCGCGGCCCTGCCCACCCTGGCTGTCCGGGCGCCCTGCTCGGCCCCTTGCCTTTTTGTGCTCCCTCCCTGCTCCCAGGGAGCTAGTGGACACGTTCCCCTTCCTTGCTTGTGCCTGCTCCATATTAGTCCGTCATCAGAACCCCCTCGGGGCACAGCATTAGGGAATTCCCCTTCCTTACTCAGCAGAGGAGGAAATTCGAAGGAAGGGCAGCTTGTGAAAGCAGGTCTTCTTTCCAGCTTGCGAGTCACCCTCTGCCGGGCTGGAGGCTATACAGACTGCGTAGCTCTGACCTGTACACATGGTGACTGGATGTACCTTGGAGGCTTTCTTGGGATAACATAAAGTTTTACCTGCTTTTGCTTTTAGTCCAAGCCGCCTCACGTTGCCTGGAGGTGACCTTGGAGGAGGGGAGGTCTTAGTGCGAGAGCCTAAGGTCTAGCTGCCGCGAGACAGCACAGAGTGTGTTCACGGTCTCACTGTCAACCGGAACACGGAGTTTGGGCGTGTGCCTGATGCCGCACAGGCGTGGCGGGGGGGGGGCGGGATGGGTACGTGGACTAGAGATGTGGGCTCAGTGAATGCCAGCTCTTTGATTGCAAGAGAGACAATGCAGATTTTTATGTGAGATCTCCCAACACTAGTGTGTCAACTGACCAACTTTTCATTCCGTGCGTAGAACAAAGTGCCGATACAGCCGGCAGGCCACAGGAGAGCTGTTCGGCCCTAAGGCTCTGTCACCAGCTGCACCTTGACCCTCCCAAGATGGTGATCATGGTGGCCTTTGCCCCCCAGGACATACCATGGGTCAGAGCAGGGGCAGCACCACCAGTGGCACTCCAGAGGAAGGTTCTAAGAAACCAGAGTCGCTGCAGAACCCACGGGAGACAGACCCAGGTTCCACCGTGTCAGATGCAGTCCACTGAGATGTACCACTATTTTATGTACCACCAAGAAAAAATGCTGTCAGTTATAAGTGTAAGACCCAACTGATTGGGGCGCCAGGGTGGCTCAGTCGGCTGAGCGTCTGCCTTCGACTCAGGTCATAGTCCCAGGGTCCTGGGATCGAGTCCCGCATCGGGCTCCTTGCTCAGCAGGGAGCCTGCTTCTCCCTCTCTCTCTGCTGCTCCCCTTGCTTGTGCGTGCACATGCGCCCTCTCTCTCTCTCTCTATCTCTGTCAAATAAAATCTTAAAAAAAAAGAGACCCTACTGATTATAAGGAATGTCCCAATCCAGAAATGTTAAGATGTGAACGTGTCCGGTTGGTGAGAAGCAGACTGTATTGTCAGTTGTGATAAGGGCAGAGGAGATGGCCACGCTGGTGGCAAAGGACAGACAGCACATCACATCCCCTGCAAAAGACACTCATCTGCACACCTGAGCTGGAGGCTCCCATTTCTGTCTTGACGAAAGAGAATACGTGGACCTAGGAAGTACTTCACACAGTAGAAAGGGAATAGAATGGAAGGTGAGGTCCTCTCCTGCTTCTGACCCCATCCTCTCCAGACCAGCACCTGGGCTGTGGGTCCCTCTGAGATCCAGTACGCAGGTGCAGGTCCATGCTCCCTCGCCCTCTCCCCATCTCTCCTTCCCACCGTTGTGTTTCGCGTAACTGGGAAGGTGGTCTCCACTTCGCTCTTGCCGTGGATGTTTTCCTCCCAAGCAGGCTCTCAAGGTCACCGTGGAGCAGCACCGAGGGAACAGCATGCGGTTCTGAACAGCTGCTGAGCACCCAGCACACGGCTTGCCCCCACCCAGGTGACCCGGCCCTCATGGACACGGAGGTGGTCTCTGATGTTCTGCATGCATTGGTGTGTGCGCGCACACGCGTGTGCAGGTGCACGTCTGTGGAGTCAAGTCCTGGGAGTGGGCTTCTCCATCTATGGACACGGGCACCTTCTGTCATTTTCAAGCTGTCTACCAAAGATGCATCAACTCGCCCCTTTCCATCAACAATGGGGGCAGGTTCCCCCCTCCCTGTCTCTCTGATCGTACTGTGAGGCCTCCGGCTGCTACATGACATGGGCCCGTTCTCACCTGCCTGCCCCAGTCTGAGCTGAGCAGCTGTCCCATAGTTTCATGTGCATGTTCTCATGCGTGAGGGTGTGTCTTCTCAAGTTGAAAAGTCCTGTTTTTGTTCCTTTTTCCTACTGATTTGTGCGAGTGCTTTACGTAAAGGAGTTCTCACTGTCTGAGACGGGCATCTGAAGCATAAATAGGTCTGGTGTACTTGGCAGGGTTGGCTGATGGGTGGCCACCCTCACCAGCCATCAAGGGCCCTGTGGTACGAGTAGCTCAAATTGGAAACCCCTTCCGTTGTGGTCGGCTGGGGACCTTTTCGGTCCCTGCTCAAGGCCTATCTGAGTCCCGTAAATGAATAGGGGACAGGCACGTGGTCAGCAGAGTGGCTTCCTGACCCCTCCCAGAGCTTGCTGCGTGACGGGCTGTGTGTTCTGGTGTGCCTTGCCCCCGGCGGTGCTTGGAAAAGCACAGACCTCATGCCAGTGAGTGGGCGCACTAAGAAACATCTTGCTTCTGGAAGCCAGTTCTCCCATCCACCACTACCTTCCCAGCCCAAGCCACCGCCAGTGTCCTGTGCCCCGTCTCCACACACAAACCCAGCCTGGAGTGCTCTTCACTCTTCTCTGTGTGGTCGGCTCCCCAGCCCCAGGACAGCAGCTCATGTGTGTCCTCTCCAGAGAGGCCTTCCCAACCCCCACACTTTTCTGTCCCCATCACCTGATTGTGAGTTTTTCTTGGCAATTACTAATATCCAACAATCTGTTGTATTGGTTTAGTTACTCCTCTTTCCCTCGCTGGAGTGGATCTCAGGCAGGCGAGTGCCTCATCTGGTGTGTTCCCTGCTCTGCCCCCCCAATATCGAAAAGCAGTGCTGAAGTTAGAACGCATTAAATGAGCACGTGTATTGACTCCTCAGAGCTGGACCTGGGCCTGCCTTTTCCGGCCACGGACAGTGAGAAGCTGGGGGAGGGGAGGGTCTCGATGGCCTGTGACGCCTCCACCTGCCTCTGCCACGAGCTCACTAAAACATTTGGGTAGCAGGGCGGGTGGGTGAGAGGGATCGGCTGAGTTTGGTCCTTCCAGGTGAAGCTTGTAAATGCTGAGTAGATGGAAATGTGTGAGCAGAGGCGAGATCTTCACTGGACCCCAGTGCAGGGCCCAGGGCCAGGAGTCAGGTGGGCCCACCCCAGCTCATCCGTGTACCCACTGTGTGGCCCTGGGCCGGCTCCTTAACCTCTCTGTATCCACTCCACAGGGTTGCTCTAAGGATTACCAGAGGTTTTACGTGTAGTGGGATTCTTATGG